TCATAGACTCTTTTCTTTAGAGGAGGACAGAAACAGGCAGTGATTGATGAGTTTTGTGTTGGGGAAATACAGTGTTGTTATGTGCTTTCCCTTACAGCTTTCTGTAACCACCCCAACTTTTACATACCGTTTTCTCTGAGCACTGTTTGTTTGTACAACCTATTTTCTCTTAGCAAATTTATCCTTTACAGACTGATTTATAAAGATCTGTCGGATATCCCAGATCCTGACATAGTTTTGATAAAGAATAAGAACTAAGTGTATGTTGTTGTTTTTTTTAATCTCCCTAAAGGTTAAAATAATAAATTAAGGGGAAGTTCTTATTTTATTTCTTTAATAAGAGGTAGCATTTACATTCTACTTGTATTTCTGCCTATACTAAAGTCCCCCCCACCCAATTTGGTTTCTCAGAAACATATTATTAGTTAATGTATTTGTAACTTTTTGTCATTGTTGAAGTTGATATAACATCATAATCATCAACTCAAGTGTACCATGAGCGCCACAGTTTGAATTCAGCCCTTCGTTGTCAGTAGAAGGGTAGGGTAGGGGCTGTTTTCTCAAGGCTTGAAGGAGAATCCAGGGTTATATAATACCTAGGAAATTGGCCCAACAATCCTGATTAAGTTTCAAGGTCTTTTGGAGGTGGGACGCTCTCCTGATTATACCAAGGATGGGTTAGGAAATACTTGCTGATGCCAAAAGCCCTGGCGCCCAGGGACTGACTGGCTTCTCTAGGCGCATGGTGCATGGGGATACCGTGTGCAATGGGCAGACTGTCGTCTCTGCAAGGATCCCTGGTGGAGCTGAAATCCAGCCTGTCCTCACTCTCTCAGGGCTGCATCAGCCCAGGAGAGAGAGCTCTTCTGCTACATTCAAAGGCAGTAGATGAGCACATGCTGACCCAGCTTAGCGCTCATCCCCATCCCTTCTCTTTACCCACACAGGTGGGAGAAAGCGGACTACAGGGGCGGGCACTGTGCAGTGGTTAAGATGCCAATTGGGATGCCTGCCTCCCACGTTGGAGTGCCTGGGTTTGAGTCCCGGCTTTTTTTCTGGTTCCTGCTTCCTGCTGACAAGCACTCTGGGAGGCAGTGGTTGTGGCTCAAGTACTTAGGTCCCTGCCAGCCCCATAGCTTCACCCTCATTCAGCCTCTGTCTGTTGTGGGCATTTGAAGAGTGAACCATTGGATAGGAGATCTCTCTGTCTTCTACTCTTTCTTTCTCTCCTTCTCTCTGTCTCTTTCTATCTCTGCTTTTGAAGTAAATGAAAAGAAAGACATTTTTTTTTTTAAGCTGACTATAGATATTTAGAAACTTGCCTCTTTAGTTTTGGGAAAAATCTTACACCTCTTTAGCTTCACTCTCTTTAAAAATACTAAATTAAAAAATTTTGTTTGTTTGTTTTTGTTTATTCATTTGAAAGGCAGAGAGACAGAGAAAAATCTCTGCCCACTGATAGTTCCCAAATATCAGGGGCTGAGCCAGACTGAATTTGGGAGCCAGGAACTCAGTCTGGGTCTCTGATGTGGGTGACACAGACCTAACTACTTTGAGTTACTTCCCACTGTGTCCCACAGTGCACATGGGAAGGAAGCTGGAGTTGAAATCGGAACCAGGACTCAGTGCCAGGCACCCTGGCAGGGGATGTAGGCATCTCAAGTGGTATTCTAACCACGAGGCCAAACACCTGCCCCTGAAAATACTTTTTGACACCTCCTTCTCAACACCTCACATAGGCTCCTCTGTTTGCTTAGATTTTTCATAGAAGAAAGGGTGCCTCCAAGAAAGCTCTGCTTTGGACTCCTTTGAGGAAGGCAATGCCTGACTGATCTCAAAGTTGAAGCAGCAATACTAAGTTTATTTTTTAATTACCAAAGTTTAAATTTTAAATCTTGAAATATTATAATGCTCCTTGTGCAAAATTTGCAGAATATATATCTCCTAGAAATTATCTGTGGTAATTAACTGAAAATTGACTAGTTATTACCTCTATCCCAGCATGATAGAAATTATATAGCTGAAAGTTTAATGTGGTCCAGTACTAGACTTAAAAGTTTAAAAGTGTGTCCTCCATACTATTTATTACAAATTTCTTCTATGTTTCATGTTTTTTTTTCACTCCATTTAATTTCTAGTTAAATTAAATGAATTTATATTTAAGGAAAGTTGTCAATATTATAATACCAATATAACTTAAGCTCATAATAAATTTGTATTTTTAAATAAACTGGGCCAGATAGAAAATACATTTCTGTTGAGTCTAGAATTTACCACAGAACCAATGCAGAGCAATTTTGTTTTAATCCACTATATCTTTGTCAACTCATTAAGTAACCTGGTTAAAATGACAAGTGGGGAAGATAGGGAAAATATATAAAATCATAATAGTTTGGTGGTTTACATTAGAAAGGTTGAAGACTTTATTTTTATGAAATGTCCATCATTCCATTCTGCTTTCTAGAATTGGTCTTGATAAAGAGTGCTTATTTTTGGTATATTTTTACTATATAAATATATCTGTGATTTACAACAAAAGTAATTCATCTCCCAATTTTTAAAACTGGAAAGAAACCTAACATCTAAAATTGAGGCATGGAAGTTATTTTGAACCTAGGAAAATTAGCACACTGTGTTGTAGTAAGCCTAACAGGCAAAGAAGGTTAACATTCTCTCAACACAAGAGGTTGGGAGTAGGGTGGAACTGGTCGGTATTATTGAAATCAAAAAGAATTGGCTTTTAACTAGAACAAATGCTGCCTTTGATTTTGAATGAACAAGGAAGGGATGTTCTTCCTTCATTATAGAATAAGACGTGGGACAAATATTATGGACAAAAAATAAGACATTTTTATGTAATTCCTCAGGGTTAGAAATGTATTGAATGCACACTTCAGCAGACTAACATTAGAAATGTTATAAAGGAAGATGCTTTTATTGAGGTAAACAACAATAACAGTTCATTTAAGCTTTTTTCCTTTTTGTATTTTAAAATTTAATCATATAATAATCATATATACATACTATATATATAATATATATCTTAAGAGCCAGTTGTTTTCATTATTTTAAATTATTTATTTATTTATTTGAAAAGCACAGTTAAAGAGAGGCGGAGAGAGAGAGAGAGTGAGTGAATGCTCTTCTGTCTTCTAGTTCACTCCCCAAATGGCCGCAATGACCAGAGCTGGGCCGTTCCAAAGACTAGAGCCAGGAGCTTCTTCTGGGTCTCCCACGTGAGTGCAGGGACCCAAGGAGTTGAGCCATCCTCTACTGCTTTCCCAGGCCACAGCAGATCTGGATCAGAAGAGGAACAGCCGGGACTTGAGCTGGCACCCATATGGGATTCCAATAGTGCAGGCGGCAGCTTTACCTGCTATGCAACGGCACCGGCCCTGCCAGTTGTTTTCTCATGAGAGAACTAAAAGTTTATGCTGCTTATTTTTTAAAAATTACTTGGAATGTATGTTAAAAATATATTTAAAATGCTTATCACTTTATATACTGTTTAAGTAGAATCAGGCTTATTTAATGATTAAGAACACAGGCTTTAGAGTTGGACAACTTTTGGTACAAATTCTAGATCTATAATATATCAGCTGTGTGACCTTGGGCAGTTACTTAACTTTTTTGAGTCTTACAAATGAAACTTTTCCTTGTAGAGTTGCTTAAGGATTAAATATAATGAAGTTTATTGAGAATTTATCTTAACACCTGATTCATACCATCAATAAATGTTAGCTCATACAAATTGGATATAGTTTTTTATTGCATAAAATAACACAAATAATCTTGTTTTTCTTCCATATGTCCACTAGACTTAGATACATTTTTTTTAAAGACAAGAATCTTAAATTTTTGTGTGATCACTGCCTAAATTCATGTATGGTTAAACTTTTAACAAGGTTCTTTTTGTAAAAAAAATTGTTCAGTGTAAATGCATTTTTAAAGTCTAATGATCAGGTGTTTGTCAGGCATTTGGAGGACAAGCTCATTTTTACCCTGCTTAGTTAATTATTGTGGTTGTAAACAAAAGATGTACAATTCAAAGTCAAGCAACAGTTCACATGGATGATGGAAGTGATAATAGCTTAATTCCTGCTGGATCTTTTTTCTCTGCTCTGGCAAGTTCATACTGACCTTGTCCAAAATCTGATGACCTTCCTATTTTACTCAACTTTTTAGAAAGCCAGGCCTGCCATAGCTGGCCCTGAGGGGGTATCTGAAAGACCACTGAGTCGCTGACCCATGTCGAGACTGGATTTCAAGTCTGATCTACAGGGCCTCTGAAATAGTTATATACGGGGTTTATTGCACACAAAAGCTTTACTGGCTGCATTTTTCTGCTTATTAAATGTTCTGTTGAAGTATCTTTAAAGTATTATTGTTCAAGTCATATATTTAATTTATTCAGTTTCTTATGCAGGTCATTTTCTAGACTAATTATAAATTTTTGTTCTCTCATTGGAGTTAGTATCTTAAAACTAAACGTGAGTGCTTTGAAATGTGAGAGAAATATGCTGTTGAGCCATAGTTAAAATGTTATGATTCATCTTCCTAGTTGATGTAGAGACCACGGAAGTGCCATTTTAATGCTTATATTAGAAAGATTCGTGGTTTTTCTGGAAACATTTCTGTACGTTTCATTTTAGAAATCTAGGTTGTTATATTGTTGTCACAGCATGGTAATCTCTGTTTAAATCTTGTGAAATCTCAACTATTACTCAGATGTGGGCACTTTATAGTTTTGGGTGTATGAGTTGTGTCCTGAAGGAAAGCCTGTAAGATGTGTTTATACTGGTAAGATGTTATTTAAATTTGGTTGGATAGGTTCTGTCTACCTTAATAGAAACTTTGTGATAAGTCTATGATATGATAAGAGAAAAAGTGTTTCCTGTGTTTATTTTGTTCCGCACAATAGGAAGTAACTAGGCCCTTTTATGTATATCTAGTTGATGTCCTTCAATTTAGAATATAATATTATCTTTCTTTTTATATAGGAGTTGATTCCTGAATTTTACTATCTTCCTGAGATGTTTGTCAACTTCAATAACTATAATCTTGGAGTGATGGATGATGGGACAGTAGTGTCTGATGTTGAACTTCCTCCTTGGGCCAAAACCTCAGAAGAATTCGTTCGCATAAACAGATTGGTAAGATTAGTAATCATCTCTGTCATGAGCCTATTTTCAAGGCATCTTTCCTGTGTCAGTTTATAATCATTAACCCTCACTCTTCTGGACTGTTGCAGTTGACAGAAATAATTCAAAATGGCATAATAATTCAGCAATTGCTAACTATATAAAACTTTATTGAAAGGTTTAATGATTTCTCTTATTCTTTTATACTGAATTTGGGTTACTTTCATATATGTATGTGTATACACACATACATATGTAAAATCATTGAAATTTCTAAACACAAGTTATAAGTGAAACTAAAATTGTATGTTATTTCAAATTTGGATTTCTCATGCCCAGAAAGGAACATAATTTTGTGTCCCTGGTTAGAAGACAAAAATCAGGCATTTCAGTAAAAGATAAGATTTTCAAATTGTACCCCATGTCTGTCTTTTGAAGGAACTCTTCCTATAATAATTTAGAACATGAAAACTTAAAAAGCTATAGTGATTACTGTGCTTAGTCTGAACTCTTTAGTATCTTCCATCGTATGGGCTCTGAATTATTTTGTGAGAAAGGAATTTTGGTTTTCTAGGTGACAGTCCTTATCTTTCAAAAAGCAATTATATTTTGATCCTGTTCTCCATATCATAATTATAATTTTGTTATTACTGAGATTTCACATTTTAAGTATACTGGAAGCAATGCAAGGGTGTGGAAGAATATAGTTCTTGGAGTGAGACCACATCTCCCAATCCTGGAACAATCACACTGTTGATTATGGGACCCCAGGCATCTTAACCCTTCTCGGCTTTGGTTTCCTCGTTTTGAAAGTTCGAGTTCAAAATTGCAAATTTGTATGTGAAATAACTAGAATATTCTCTAGTTTATAATATTTGCTCAGAAAATAGTACCTAGTGTTGCATCATATTCTTGTGATACCCATTACATTTTAGTTTTATCCCAAGTATTTTTAAAAATTCTAAGTTGTGGTTGAAATGAAAGCCCAAGAGAAAGCAAAACCTTTGAAAGACATTGAAGGAGATGCTAGATTTTAAATGTGGCAGTTGTCTGTGGTGAGGTGTTTCTCCCAGGGGCACGTAGGAGGGAATAGAGGAATATATATATATATTTTTTTTTTTTACTATAATTTACTATAATTTTTTTTCTTTTGTGAATATCTACCCTTTGCGGCGCCGGCACACCGGGTTCTAGTCCCGGTCGGGGCTCCGGATTCTGTCCCGGTTGCCCCTCTTCCAGGCCAGCTCTCTGCTGTGGCCAGGGAGTGCAGTGGAGGATGCGCGCTGGCCACGGCAGCCATTGGAGGGTGAACCAATGGCAAAAGGAAGACCTTTCTCTCTGTCTCTCTCACTGTCCACTCTGCCTGTCAAAAAAATAAAATAAAAAAAATAGATTTATTGAAGTATAACTTAAATACTATAAACTTTAGCTTTTTAAAGTATACAGCTTTGTGAGTTTTAGTGCACATACATAAGAATCATCATCACCATCCATCTTTAGGACACCAGTCACTCCAAAAAGTTTCCTTGTGTCACTTTACAGTAAGTTTCTAACCTCATTCCTGTTCTCATGGTTTTGCCGTGATTTTGTCTCTATAATTTTGGTTTCCTAGAAATTTTATACTGATGGAATCACACACCATGGATTCTGTTTGTGCCTGGCTTCTTGCACCTGGCGTGATATTTTGGGATTCGTCCATGTTGTTGCATGTATCAGTAGTAATTTCTTTGTATGGCTGCATAGTTTTCCATTGCAGACATCCATCACATGTTGTTTACCTTTTTACTAGTTCAGAGACAGTTGATTTGTTTCCAATTTGGAACTATTATGGATATTTGCATATAAGTCTTAGTGTGGACATCTGTTTTCATTTCTCTTAGATAGATTCCTAGGAGTGAAATTCCTATGTCGTGTGATCAGAAAGCATTTACTATGCCATTTTTATGCCCAGCAGTGCAGTTCTGGGTTTTTTAAATCTTTACCAAGACTTGGTATGGTCATTCTTACTTGTTTTAGTCAGTATCGGGTATCCTGTTGTGCATTTAGTTTGCATTACCTTAGTGACTAGTAGTAATATCTTTTCATGTATTTACTCACTAGTCATACATGTTCTTTGTTCAGATTTTTACATGTTTGTGGAGTGAGTTGTTTTATCTCTTTATTTTGAATTATAAGAGATCTTTATATATTCTCCATAAAGGTCCTTTATCTTCTAACACATGTTTTGCAAATATTTTCAACTAGTCTGCAGCTTGGCTTTTAATTTTTTAATGGTGCTTTTGGAGCCACCATTTAAAAAAATGTTTTCACTAAATATTAAATGACATAAAAATGATATTTATAGTACATACATGAAAATTGTAAAGTATCATCCCCATGCTTGATGATTTATTTTTAAGAAAAAATTAAATTGTGTTTTGATATTTTTATGATTGAAATACCTCTTCTCAAATATAATTTAAAATTGTAAGTCTCAAGGGAACTAGCTCTTTTAAAAAATATTTATTTATTTATTTGAAAAGCAGTGAACTAGAGGGAAAGGAGGGAGAGACAGAGAGAGAGAGAGAGAGAGAGAGAGACATTTTCCATCTGCTGATTTACTCCTCAGATGGCCACAATGGCCAGGGCTGGGCCAGGCCAAAGCCAGGAGCCAGGAACTTTATCCAGGTCTCCCACGTGAATGCAGGGGCTCAAGCACCTGGACCATGTTCTGCTGCTTTCCTAGGCCCACGAATAGGGAACTTGATCAGAAGTGAAGCAGCGGCCAGCACAGTGGCATAGCGGGTAAAGCTGCCACTTGTAGTACCAGCATCCCATATGGGAGCCAGTTCAGGTCCCCACTGCTCCACTTGCGATCCAGCTCTCTGCTATGACCTGGGAAAGCAGTAGAAGATGGCCCTAGTCCTTGGATCCCTGCACCCACGTCGGAGACCTGCAGGAAGCTCCAGGCTCCTGGGTTCAGATTGGTGCAGCTCCAGCCATTACGGCTATCTGGGGAGTGAACCAGCAGATGAAGACTTCTCTTTGTGTGCCTCTGCCTCTCCGTAGCTCTGCCTTTCAAATAAATAAATAAATCTTTAAAAAAAAAAAAAAAGAGAAAGAAGTGAAGAACCTGGGACTTGAACTGGTGCCCATAAGGGGTGTTGACATTGCAGGTGGCTGCTTTACCTGCTATGGTGCAACACCAGCCCAGGGACTAATTCTTTATTCATTGTTAAAATTAGTACTATTCAGGCTGGTGCTGCAGCTTACTTGGCTAATCCTCTGCCTGTGGTGCCGGCACCCTGGGTTCTAGTCCCAGTTGGGGCGCCGGGTACTAGTCTTGGTTGCTCCTCTTCCAGTCCTGCTTTCTGCTGTGGCCCAGGAGGGCAGTGGAAGATGGCCCAAATGCTTGAGTCCCTGCACCCGTATGGGAGACTGGGAGGAAGTACCCGGCTCCTGGCTTTGGGTCGGCTTCGGATCAACTTCGGATCAGCTTCGGATCAGCTTCGGATCAGCATAGCGCTGGCCGTGGCGGCCATTAGGGGAGTGAACCAACGGAAGGAAGACCTTTCTCTCTCTCTCTCTCTCTCTCACTCACTGTCTGTAACTCTCTCAACTGTCTATCTGTCTCTCTCTCTCACTCTAACTCTGCCTGGCAAAAAAAAAAAAAAAAGAAAAAAAAAGGAGAAGAAGAAAAAAATTAGTACTATTCAAAGTACAAAGAGGTTTATTAATGTGTTTACTTCATTCTGAGGGAGTTCCAAAAGGCAAAAACATGTGAATAAATTATGTTTAACTTTTTTTTTTTTTTTTTACTAATATTTTGACCAAAGAATTGAAGTCAGGAGTTCTCCTGAGTGCGCCTTCCACGCTGCTCCAGTGCCTTGTCCTCAGAAGAGTCAGATCTGCTGGGCGTGCGTTTCCTATGAGCGCCAAGGAAAGGAAGGCCGCAACTTAGAAAACGGTTTTCCCTCAGGTTTGGGTTCTGGCAACCCAGGCTCAAAACCTGGACATGACTACGACATTGTAACAAAATAGTATTTAATAGTATCAGCTGCACATTTATGACAACTCGGTATTAAGTTTACTTAATGTTTTTTCCCAGAGATTCCCACTCCAGTGAGTTTTAGGGACGTCTTCTTTGTTCAGGCTTTGAATTAGCTTATACACCCAAACAGGACTATATAAAATTTGCTGCAAATAGTTGAATAATTATATTTTAAATCATTTTAATTCATAATTAGGAATGATAACTTGATTTTTACTTATTTGTCTTCATGTAAGAATTTAATAGCTCACTTACTCATTAAAGAATACTTGATCCACACCTGTGATGAACAGAGCTTCCCCGTAGTGCAGTGTGTATTGGTGCATTTTATAATTTATTGTTAACTTTCTGTAGGCGACTAAGTTGTTAGTATGGTATTTTATGTCTCTGTTAGCATGTTATCACATAGGGTTTTATCCCCCTCCTCTTTTTGGCTTACTTCTTCCAATCCACAGATTTTATGCAATGATTGTAGCTCATGAAATGCATACTACTTTGATCTGTGACCTTTTTGTGGTGCTAATCGGGTTCCTGATATCATTATACCTTACTCATTAATCATATTTCCTGCAGCCCGTCAGGCAGCCAGACAGCACAAGTCCCTGTTTTCAGCCCTCTGTTGGCAGGTTTCTGCTTTTCCAGATTATTACAGACGATACTTTGGCTTCTCGTAGCCAGAGCCACATCAAGCTGTGTGTTACAATTAAAGTCAGATGGTCCTCAGGTTGAACAGGGATATAGTGTTGCAGCTGTCTCTCTTCCTGGAACAAACCAGCACCAAGAACAGATGATCTATAGGACAGTGAATAATAGCAGATTGTACAATACTCAGTTGATAGCAGGGGATCACAGAATTAATTAACTGACATACTCATTTTAAGATACTCAGCGTGTCTTTTTTTAAGTATTTGGTTGCTCAGATATTAATTCCAGAGGATAGGATATTTGAGCAACATGGTTTTGCTGATGAACAGCAATGTTA